CTGAGAAAAAAAATTAAAAATTCTGAGATTAAAGTCAGAATTCTGAGAAAAAAGTCAGAATTCTGACTTTTATCTCAGAATTCTGACTGAATTCTGACAATAAAAAAGTTAGAATTCTGAGATTAAAGTCAAAATTATGAAAAAACTGTCATAATTCTGAGAAAAAAAATTAAAAATTCTGAGATTAAAGTCAGAATTCTGAGAAAAAAGTCAGAATTCTGACTTTTATCTCAGAATTCTGACTGAATTCTGACAATAAAAAAGTTAGAATTCTGAGATTAAAGTCAAAATTATGAAAAAACTGTCATAATTCTGAGAAAAAAAATTAAGAATTCTGAGATTAAAGTCAGAATTCTGAGAAAAAAGTCAGAATTCTGACTTTTTCCCATACTAAACTGAAATAAAATTTTAAAATCAGTAAACTTTTTTTTTTTTTCCAGTGGCCCTAATCCTCTTCCGTACAAAAGAGAATAATAGAATTTAAAGTTTTGATTATAGATTTAAAAATATAATGTAAAAAGCATTTTGTAATTGCAAATTTTAAATTGATTTATTATAGGAAGAGAGGACTTGTAAATTTTTTATTAATCCTTTATTAAATACTGCAATTTGAAAACATATTTTTAAATCCTATTTTGAAATGATGAATTTTATTTTATCCTCTCTGTGTAGTATTTGTGTGACCCTTCTGGCCACCGAGGATTTTCTTAAAATGTTTAATTTTTATGACCCTTCTGGTTCCTTTGAAAATATATAATCAAACTGCAACATTTATTAATAGCTGGACAAATTCATTATTAACAATTAACAATTCCTCTACAATATTTTAAAATCTGCAATTGCGAAATATTTGGATTTCCAAATGCATGTTAGGGTTAGGGTTGCCTGTTAGTTTACTTTGAACTTAAAATGAAAAGTATATTATATGTAAGAGTCCTGCTTTGGAAGAAATGAGACGTTAAACTTTTCAGACTTTTTGTTCACATTAAAAGATTCACATTTTCCACAATGAAATGAATGCAGAAGCTTGTGATACAGTATAAATACCTGTAACTATTTGTATTTCTACTAAACAAAATTATATAATGATATAAGCATTTAATGATTAACATCCATAAATAAGAAATCGTATTAAATGAAATGTTAAATCTTTCATAATCAGCAGTGGATGCTTGAAATGTACTGTAGCAAAAATATGCACAAGATGTGAGATCTGCTGTAGCGCCTCACATCTAAGTGCTGCAGCCACCATATATACTTACAATGTGCTGATTGACCCCGTTTGTTTTTCCTTCATTTACTTGAATGAAAAATGTTGCATGTTGGATGGCAGGACTGAGTTTAACTGTTCTGGGAGCTTAGACTGATAAATATCTTGGATCGCCTCCACATATTCTTTTTGTTGGATTCACAGTCGTTTCTCGTATTGGTTTTAAGTTGAAAAGCAAACGATACATGGATTCAAAATGATGCAGAAAAAAAGCATTGGTCTGATTTACAGTTTGTTGAATTTTAAGCGCTACATACATTTTCTTATGTGCTGAGAATTTGCAAGCTGGGTGCAACCGCGCAAACACGGAGCTTAGAGGAAACATTGGTTGTTTTTCTTTTTCATTGACTCTCTTGGTCCATAAGGTCGATGGATGCAGGATATAACCAGCAGCATATGAGGCATTAAAGTAATTTTTTATTTTTCCATTATTTAACACTATGAAATTATGGTTTTGATCTTCCAAACAACTTCTCCTCCAGGATCTTTAAAATCGTTTTGATTCCTCAGCTTTGATTGTTTGTTGAAGTTCAGGTCTGATTGAAATATTTATCCCCAAACCTGAAGACGTCCCCTTAAGCAAATAAGACCTTACTTAGATGGCCAGAACATTCTCCTAATTCACCATGAGGTCCATCCAATAATCTCTCTACATTCCAAGAACACCTTCAAGAAATGGGATCCAGAACAATCACATCTGGCCTCCATCCTGGTTATTTCCATAACAGTGTCATCATATCCATGTGAACAGTGTTGGTTTTAGATCCAAACAAAGTCCAGTGAAATTAGAATCTCTAATCCAAGATTCAATATTTACATTTGATTTTTTATTAGCCAAGAGAGCTGCTTATTCTCCATCACTTTCACTCAGTGTGTGTATTTGTGTGTTTCAGGCTGCAGCAGTTGGACCGGCACTGTCAGAGCAGCGCGCAGCAGGTGTGTGAGCTCCTGGCCAAACAGAGCCAGCTGATGCAGGAAAGAAACGCGCTCAGCGAGGAGATGCAGCAGCTACGAGTAGAGGTACAAACACAAGGACACCAGAGGAGCTTGTGACAAAGTGTTTACTTACCAAATAAATCTGGAGCCGTTTTCCCTCCGAGTGGGGGGGGGAGGCTGTCTCGTTTCAGCTGATGAATTCCGCTGGTTGTAGATTTGTGGGAAAGTTTTCTGCTTAGCACCGTTATCTGATGTCACAAGCAGGTGTGCTGGTACTGAAGTTGTTTATTTTCTCTTTTTAGTTACCAAACCCGAGGAGAAATGAACCCCTGAGTGCATGAATTCATCATTCCTCATCTTCATCCTGGACTTTTCCTCTGTAAAACTTTTTTAAAACAAAGCAAAGTGTATTTCCAATCTCTTCCCCATCAGCAGGCATTTTATGTCACTTTCACTCTGAATGATGTTTCATGGTTACAGAAGCCTATCGTGCTTCAAATATTAGTAAAACTCTGAGAAAAATAGTTTTAAATGTTCTTGATATACATATTTGTTTTATTCATGAGTTGTTTAAAGGATTTATAGGACCATTCATTCTATGAAATAAAGTTTGTATTTGTGTTTCTGTTGAAATGTCATTGTCAAAATTAAAATTATTTTTCAAAATTTCAACTCTTTTCTCTTGCTTTAGGAATAATAAACTCTATTACTGATCCATACAATGACTTCAATAAAAGAGTAAAGGACTGCGGCCATGTTGTTTGCTGCAGTCTTCTTTAGATGAACCAGTCTGAGAGTCCTGACACAGTCCAGCTAAACTTGTAGTGACTTCAATGTCTGGATTAATATGGCGGGAGAAAGCCTTTGTGAATTTAATCCACAGGAAAACATGTAATGAGCTAAATTATCAAAGAGTCATATTAAAACAAGGAGCAGGCAATGTAGCAGTAGCAGGTCATCCAACCCTTGCAGGATATTAATCATTTGCTGAGATATGGTCTTGTTTTTACTCTAAAAACAAAGTACAAAAGATCTAAATGTGACCTTTGGCTAATTATTTACAAAGCCTCTTCTTTCCATATCTATTTTTCATTTTACATTATATTTTAAATAATGTCTATTTGCTGTTGAATTAGAAGAAAATTTACATTATTTTTGGTTTTAAATGAAGCAGTAATTGGAAAAAGCATCAGGGCCAACTAAGTAACACAATAAATTGGATCCATAATATAGATTGACAGAACATGAAGCTCCCCTTTAAGCTTAGCTTTATAAGTCTACAATATGAAGGAAATTCCAGCTTTAACATAAAGTTCAATTGGAATAATGTTCTTTTAGTTTTAGCAGAAAAATATAAACTACTATCATAAGTTTTTACCAACTTTATAAGGACACTTTCTAGCATTTTTAACAATACAGAGTAAAGGTTTAATTTAAACAGTTGGAAAAGATAACCTGCCAAAAACAGAAGAACAAAACTGAATCAAGTATAATTTTAATTTGCACACATTTACACAGTTTGGGCCTATAATCAGTAGAGGATCAGAGGATTTCACTAGAGGATCGTTTGCTCCCCAGCAATGACAACGATTATGTGTAACATGCAACACCAATGAAGCGTGTTCTTTCTCAATCAGGAAAGTAGAAGAGGCACTTTATGTTACATTCTGCACTCTATTCTTTTGCTCCTAAAATTTTGGTTTTCATTGAAAATGTTTATTACATTGAGACATATGGAGTTAGAAAATAAAAATATTTTCATAAATATTTTTTTAAACGGGTAGATTAACAGTACAGGAATTAATAACTTATCCTAGAGGAATAAGGATGGACTTTTGAGTGACTTAACACCAGGAAATTCGTTTTTTTTTTTTTTTTTTTTTATTATTATAGAAACAGAATAGAAAAATCCTGCAGGGGTCAACATTTTTGCTCCTCATGAATAAAAACAATAAGCTTTGAGATGTATTGTGCCATAATTGCAGATCGAACAGTAAATACGAATCAACTCAGCAGCAGATTGACATAGTGCTTTATTGAAGCCGTCTGTAAGGAAAATAATGTGCATCCCTATTTTATACATCTTATGTGTAAAAATACTAAGGATGTACAGAATAAATAAAAAAAACAGCTCCATGTTGATGGTAATGCGTTGTTCTCTCATCCTGACATAAAGGCTGTTTGATCTCTGCTGCTGTGTCCTTTCTTAGATTCAAACATCACCTCAGAGCAGAACCACAGCCTTTTCCTCTTCTGCTGTTCAGCTACAGTGAGTAATTGAAACGCCGTTGAAATATTTATACATGTTTGCTGTTTCTAAATGAATGAATCTCATGCTTGTTATCGTGTAGGAATCATGTTAACGAGGTAAACTGAGGAGGGATCTGCTGCCGAAATGAAGTTGTATCTCTTAAGAGATGTAACTTTTTTTTTTTCCTTTTTGACAGAAAGCTTTGGGGAATGTCTGGCTGATGTCAACAAATGAGACGGCTCTGTAGATGTAGCAGTAGCAGCTTTAAGAGTGAACGCCATCAGTATAGCGTCCCAGATTTCACACGCTGTTTCATACGATGATGATGATGATGAATCCTGTGAAAGCTGCGAGGAGGCAGAAACTGACTTTCTAAGACGTCTGCCACGTGTGATTCACTGTCGGTCAGGGAAAACCCCACACTGTTTAATATTAATAAGTAAGCTTCGTCATCTCGGCTCATTTACTGAAAAAAAAAGAAGAGAAAAGCTGCTTTCATTGAGTCTGACCCAGAATTCACTGGAAGGAAAACCAGCGATCGATGAGCTACACCAACATCTGTTCACTCCAGCCAAGTCTGTCTAATCTATACATCGGACCCATGCCTAAGCCAAAGGTTTTATCTGGAGATTTCATCCGTTTTCTTTAAAAACATAAAAAAAGGAGCTAAAAAAATCTCGCTTCAAAGTGGGGCTGAATCAAATTCCTCTGGATCGTATCAAAAGTGATGAATGCGAAAGTGCTGTGTCCAAAGCTACAAAGCTGGAATTTATTGAACTCGGGTTTCTAATGGTTATTGGCGCAACATGTGCACATCCAGCCAGAACTCCTCAGCCGACCTGAGTCAAATCAAAGCTGAAACCCTTCCAGATACTTGAGAGCGCTTCCTTGAGCCTGTCAGGGGTGCCAGCTGGGTGGGATTTGGACTTCCCTGCCTGACAGGCCCCGTCGATCACACACACAAGTATTTTTCATCGGAGTTCTGAGCGCCACTCTGACTCAGGGCTGATGGGCAGATGAGAGCTACAGCATGCAGGCCAGCAGCGTCCTTTTTCTGAACTTTCTACCATAAAGCATGTTTTTATTTTTTCTAGCTATTTGTAGTTTAATGGTAGTGCAACAGTAAAGCATGTGGACATAAGAGCAGCGGAAAAACAGGGAGGAGGTTGTTTAACACACATATCTTTAAACAAAGAAAAAAATAAAAATAGAAACTTTAAACATTACTACAACCCCTCCATACTGCTAAAGGCCCATTCAGAAAAAAAAAGTGAACAAATAAATTAAATAGAAAACAAATTCAAGTTATTCAGACATTCAAATAATAAACACACTGGAATAGTTTTCTCTGATCATCATCGGATCACATCCCCGATACTCTTGTCCGTAAGCCAGATGCTAAAACACAACAGGGTTTCCTTTGGGTGAAGTTTGGCCTTTTCTGACCTTGTGAGTGAAGTGAAACCATAAGGCTTTGGAGACGAAGAAATCAAGGGGAAAATTCTTAAACAGTGTCTGAAGGACACAAAGATGCAACAATTACAGACATACAGAGTCCAGACCGGAGAGAGGCGACGGCACGGAATGAAGACTGCAGCTACACAGATCTGAGGTTTGGGGCCAGTTGACATTTAAACCAAGAATACAAATACCAGTGTTCAAAATATATGTTTCCAGCAATAAGTGTTGTCATCTGTTATATCAGGGTCAGAGGCAAAGTTTCCCTCCGCTATTTTAGATGTGATTAATCTACCTGTTAAAGGGATATGTACCAAAGGCTGTTTTGGTTGTTGTAATTAAACCTTTATTTAAGTAACTGTCTCTTGACCCAGATGACTTGGTCAGTTACAGACCTACAGTATATCCAATCCATCTTCCTGATGTTCAAAGGTTACCTGTGGAGTACCACAGGGATCAGTGCTAGGACCAATTCTCTTTACTACATATATATGCTCCCAGTTGGTAGAATTATTAGACAGCATGGGATTAATTTTCACTGTTATGCTGATGATACCCAGCTATATCTGTCTATAAATCCAGATGAAGCTAACCCATTACACAGATTACAGGCATGTCTTGAAGACATAAAAACCTGGATGACTCTTAACTTTCTGCTCCTGAATGCAGACAAAACAGAAGTTATGGTCTTTGGACCAGAGTCTTTGACAAATAAGCTGATTAGTCACTCACTTCATTTGGATGGGATAAAATTGATAATAAAGTTAAAAATCTTGATGTTGTTTTTTTTTATCAGGACCTGTCATTTAAATCCCATATCGAAGAGGATTCTAGAATTTCCTTCTTTCATCTGCGGAAGATTGAAAATTTTTTAAAACTCCTGTCCAGGGGTGATGCTGAGAAACTAGTCCATGCATTTGTTACTTCAAGGCTGGACTATTGTAATTCTTTACTATCAGGAAGCCCACAAACTGCAGTTAAAAGCCTTCAGCTGATCCAAAATGCTGCAGCCAGAGTTCTGATGAAAATTAAAAAGAGAGATCATATCTCCCCAACCCACCTTTACTTCAAAGTCTCCCTGTTAAATCCAGAATGGAATTTAAAATCCTCCTTCTCACATATAAAGCCTTAAATGGCCAAGGTCCCTCTTATATCAGAGATCTGATTGTTCCTTATGTTCCCAACAGAGCACTTTGCTCTAAATCAGCAGGTTTACTAGTGGTTCCTAGAATTTCTAAAAGTAGAATGGGAGGCTCCATTACTACCAGTTTTAGTCCGCGAGGCAGACACCCTGTCTACTTTTAAGGGTAGGCTTAAAACTTTCCTTTTTTTTTAAAGGTTATAGTTAGAATGGCTTGTGTTATCCCAGTGCCAGCTCTATAGTGATGCTGCTATAGGCTTAGACTGCTGGACTCTTTTTTTCTATCTCTATTCTCCCACTCTGCAGTATTTGTTAGTGTAATCGCAAAGATTATGCTCTCTCTGTTTTTCTCAGCAGATGGCCACTCACACTGAACCTGGTTCTGCTGGAGGTTTCTTCCTGTTAAAATGAGTTTTTCCTCTCTACTGTCGCTACAAGCATGCTTGGTATGAGGGATTGCCTTCAAGTCAATGAGTCGATGCAATCAACCTGTTTTCCTTAGATAGAAAACTTTGAAGCAATCTGACTGTATGATCTGGTTGAATTGTCTCTGTAAAGTGCCTTTAGATGACGTGTTTTAATAGGTACTATATAAATAAACTGAATTGACTGGGAATTGGTTTTAAATTACAGTATTTGGGGACAAAGGGAGCAAAAAGTACTACCAAACTTAAGAGCAGACAGACACTTCTTATATTAGCGGTTAGCACTTGTAAAACATCAGCTCCTGCAGACCCTTTTAGAAGTATCAAGACTCTTATGATTTGTGATGAATAAAATCAAAAGGTTTTTGCACTTCAAATTTATCCTCATGATTCAGTCAACTACGAATTAAATTATGTAGCTCTTTGAAGCCAAATCCTGTTCAATATCCATTTATAAACATCAACAAAAAAAGATAGTCATGAAGAATCCTCCTAACAGATATGCTAAATCCTTAGGTTTATTAGGGACTAGCTGGGCCGTTGAGTTTATTGTTGTTACGCTGTAATACCTCATAAATCCCTTCTCGGCAATAAACAGAACATTGAATGTCTGAAGCTGTTCTCTTAAAGTCCAACAATTTGAAAAAAGTTATGAATAAACCTATTCTTGATGTCTTAACCCCTTTTTAAGGCCTAAAGCAGGGGCAAACCAATGTGGGACTCTTGATATTTATGGCTGAGGTCCTAATCAATTAGTTTTTTGTCTCTATAACAAATCCTCCCCAATGTTAGTTGTTCCCTCTTTTTAAGGAACTTAATCAATGACAACTGATGAATCCTGTCACTGTTGTGGTAACAGGACTGAGGTGTAGTCATTTCTTAATGTAGAACAGCTTTAAACTTTGTCTGATTTCCTTTCAAATGTCTCACTAATCCTTACAAACAACTAAATTTAACTTTTTCATTCAGTAATAACTTCCATATGAGGTGCTTACGTATGATGCATTCACTACTTGGAAAAGAAACTGTATTCTTTGTGTTTACCACTTGTCTGGTCACTCCAAAAATGGTCTGATTAACTCGACCACCCGACTTGCAGGTGCATCTCAGCCCTTTAGATTAAAACACAAAGCAATCATCCACACACTTACGAGTTGCTCTCCACTCTCCATCCTTGTTCTCCTGCTTATTCCACTTCCACTTCCTCTTCACTTTCCTTTTTTAACTCTACCTCACCCAGAACCCCAAAAAATATCAGGACCATTCAGGTTTTGTTTACATTTAACCAATAAACAGTCTTCAGCGTGCCGTCGCCTCAGGCCGTCACATTTTGGTCACAGAACAACACGCAATAAAAATAAAAATGGAGCAGGAAGGCTATCTGCTTTCCCTCCTACATTCTTCAGCCATTTTTAGTTTCTTGAGGTGCAACATTTTTCTCAATCTTAAGAAATAACATACTTTTTTAATAATGTAATAACAATAGAAAAGGTTAAATATAAAACCAATGTGTAGAGCAATAAATAGAACATATATATATATTTATATATATATATATTATAGCAACTGCTGTGATTCTTGTAAACTGTGTTTACTTCCTCACAGACTGCGTTGTTTTAAAATCCTTCTTTAGAAACTTGCAGCAAACAGTAGATAAGCTGTTACCTCACTACATCGTAAGTGATCACATTATAAATTATTAATATTGCATTTTTTTTTTTTTTGTTTGACTCCTCTCCTGTCGTAACAGTCCCTTTTCCTATCTGACATTCTGGGCCCTGACACCAAGAGGTACAGCCGTGCGAATCTCAAAGCCATGATCACCGCATGTCACAGTAAAGCTTTTTCTCCTTTAAACAAAGTACCGTTTCAGTTAAGTTGTTTTTTTTGTTTTTGTTTTTTTTTCCCTTTTGTTGGTTTAAGGTAGATTGAAATAAAAGCAGGAAGGAAAAGTGGGGTTTAGGAAACATTCCCACCGGCTGATTTCTTCCAATCAGTCTGGGCGGTGTAGTAAAGCTAATTATTTATCTGCCGGAGCTTCATCTGCTTGACCTGCTGAGCTTTGAGGCAAACACATGATGACTGGACCTTCGACACAAAGGCGCGCACCGACGGAGCGCATGCCATCATCTGTGGAAACCTCAGAGATGACATTTAAGAGCAGCACAGTAAAGTAGCAGCTGTACGAGCATAGATGGTAGTACGGGTGTCTTGCTGGCGCTTTGGTAACGCTCGGCGAGTAGCTGTAGCACCGGAGTTCAGTAGTAGCAGTAGAAGGTGGTAGGAGGAGTAGTACCTGTAGACGAGGTTGAAATAGCAGCAACGACATGACGTGCACTGAGCAGCACCTGAGTCAAATCCTGCTTGACAACATGAAGAGCGTCCACCGATGAAGGCTGCTCAGTCCATCCCGGGATCGCTGAGCTGACGACACAAAACGCACATCTGAGTCTGTGTTTGCAAAAGCCTGAGATACAACCCGCTATGGCAGTTTGGGTTTCGACGACGTAAAATGCTGTATCTCTGTCGCACGGAGACGAACACTACCTGAAAACGCGTCGGCTAGCATCTAAATAAGTGTTTGCATTTTCCATTTCATTTTTTTTTTTTTTTACGGCTTGTCCGAGGGCCGACCCGTTGTCAAAGCACAGCAGGACGCAGATGAAGCTCCAGTCGTTAAAGGGTCGTTTAAAACCAACTGATTCTGTCACAGTTTGGAGTGTGGGATTCAACTCTAATTTTGCCTCAAGGTTTTAGTCTCATGAAAAAAGAAAATAAACAATAAAGAAAGAAAGAAGCAGATTGAAGAGAAGGAATGGAGGAGAAAGGACGGGTGGTGGGGTGAGGATCCTTCAAGTCTGGGTCGGTCCAAACCTGCGGGGTCTTCGTGTCCTACGCTGGCGGCCTCAGAGACAATGTCGCCGTGATGGACAGTTCATTCTCGCCCGCTGGCCGAGTACGAGAACTGCGGGAAGTGCGGTCGCCTCTCGTTATCCAGACAGTCCATCCCATCCTCATCGACTTAATTATGCAAAGATTCACAGGTAAAGAATGTCAGAATACTTCTTTCATACGTTTATAGACAGAAATTTACATAAAAAAAAGCTCATAATAAAGTCGAATTACGTCATATCATCAGAGCATACACAGCACCTTGCTAAAGTATTCTTAACCTTCAAATATATCTACATTTTGTCACATTACAGCCACCAACGTCATTGTAAATTATTGAGATTTCCAGTGAAACATGATGGCGGCAGGATCATGCTGTGGGGATGTTTTTTTTTTTCTGCATGGACAAAGAATAAAAAATAAGAGCTGAATAATGGAAGACAAGCTGCAGAGGATTTGATCTGTGGCGGAGGATCCTCTCCAGCAGGAGAATGACACTAAACACAACCACAACTACAAAACAAAATGTTTTAGAATGGCCTAGTCAAAAGAAATCTGTAGCAAGACTGAAAAACTGGCACCTAGAGCAGGGGTCAGCAACCCAAACTGCTCAAAGGGCCATATTGGACCAAAAAAACAAATCTGTCAAGAGCCACAAAAATGTAAAAGTCTTATATAAGGCTCGTATGGCAACACAGACTATAAGTGTATTAGACCACTATAAAAAAAGGACTACGTGGGCTTAAATACATAATAAGCATTCATGATTAAATGTTAATCCTGGAGCAAATGTCACATAGTAGCAAGAGGTGATGGAGGAGCAGTGGATTGCGCAGAGTTCACCGTGTGCTGCTTCACTGCGCGCTGCTTCACTGCACAGTTTAAGTTTTGTTGCATTGATGAAATTATAGAATCATGATAAAGGAATATGTTTATGGTGGACATGTTTTAGTTTGGAGGAGCTGATTGAGTCATAAGGAACCAAGCAGGAACTGACATCCATCAGAGCAGAGCTCTCTAACCCTGAAATCCCACATCCTTCATCACCAGCGTTCCTTGGTGATATTTTTACTTTGAGGATTTAGGGGGAAGAAATTTAAAAAAGTTCACCTACCTGCGTCTGAGCGCTACCTGTTTGATCTGTGGACGTTTTTTTAATGCTTCAAACAAAACTAGCAGCAGTAGTGGAGTTTGGAGATGCAATCCATTTCCTTAATATATCTTTGCTCTCCTCTAATTTATCCAGACGTTCTACAATCATATTCTTTCTCTAACTCACAACTTTGTGATCGGCTGTATATTTAGCCTTCCCTGGAAATGCATTTCCAAATTACTATTTTTATTATTTGACAAATTCTCGTGCCAAAGCAAAAATGCAGGCAATCCTTCCGCATTGATAATGAAAGCAAATTAATTGGTCTATTATTCGTTGAATCCCCTGTTCTCATCAGGTATCTTACTTTTTTTCCTCTTTGGGATCAATGGCGTGAGAAACACCCGCCGCTTTCTTTGCCTGGCACCACGCCGCGCTGAGACATGTGTTGCAGGCTTTGACCACTGATCTCTATGGCTATGACGCACATTTTTGCTGAAATAAATGTCTACTTATATTTTTGATATTTATTTATTATACAAATGTTTACAGCATTGTTTGACCTTCTGCACACCATATTAACAAAAAATAAATAAATTTAAAGTTTCATAAATTTTTGAAAAAGCTCCAAGAACCCGCAATGGGGGCGCTAAAGAGCCGCATGCGGCTCTGGAGCCGCATGTTGCCGACCCCTGCCCTAGAGCTTAGGCTAAAATTTTTTGTTATTTTACCTCACAGGTATCCACTTATCAAATATGACCCAAATTCTTTAAAGTTAGTGTTTGTAATGTGACAAAAAAAAAGTTAAAAGGGTGTGAATAGTTTTACGATTCACTGCAATAACATTGTGTTTTGGTTCAGCGGTGAGGAAACAAACTGAGAAGAATTCAATTAACAAGCAGGCGTCGGATGTGGCAGGCTCCCGCAGTGCCGTGTGAGCTGCAGATCAGGTGGAGCCTCACCTTAGAGCGGAGAAACCCGTCAGCTCCACTCATGCATGATTCAGTGCTGAACACACTGAAAACAGCAGCGTTATCATAAAAGCATGTGGAGAAGCGCTTCTGGCCTTACTAATAAAGAGGCACTTGAGGAAACACACAAAGCCCCTTCTCTTTCCCCTTGCAATTAGTTCAAATAGAAAACAAACTAGCCCCTTTTTTCCCCCTCTGAACACTGAGGATGTTAGCGGTAATCAGAGAAGATCATAACACAGAGTAGGGGACTCACATTTCTCGGGTGGGGTGATTGTGATGGTTTGAGCAGTGAACTCCTCATCAAAGTACCTGGTGTCCGTCTCGGACGTCACCTGAGGCTTGAAGGGAGGGACGAGCTGAGAGACAGAGGAGACATCAGATCAGCGCAGCACAGCAACAACCACCACAGCTGGTTCTCCATTAGAGAGTAAATGATCTACATGGAGATAATTCAAATCCTCTCATGTCTTTAAACAAACAAAAAAGAAAAACAGGGCTTATTTATTATGGGAAAAAGAAAATCATCAAGAGATCTGAGAAATCGGCCGCAGATGTCCTGCGTTGAAGCCAGATTTCTCCACTCCAAATAAAGCTGGTCTAAAGTTCTTAAAGTACTTTGAGTATTTCCTGAAACTGACCAAACATTTTTTTTATGATAAAATCATGTTTTTTGGAAGGTTACAGTGAGATAAGAGTCGAACAAACTTTCAAAAAGCCCTTTCTTGCTCCAAGAACTAGACACTCTGGTGTATTAGCTCCTTCGTTCCAGCTGTTCTAACATTCAGACACTGAGTTTACTCCTACAAGCCAAAGCAAAATATATTGTTGGGGTTCTGAGGTTCTGGGGTTTTGATTTCTGCCAATAACATCTAATGCTGTAATCAACACTCCAATGATACGATCACTCACACACACACCTACAATAAACAGCTATGACAGTACTTTCTACACTCGTCTATTTGTATGCTTTATCTGGTGTTGCTCAAAGTAATAAAATAAAGTAGCATGCAGTGTTTTTACACCTAAAGTGTGATTTATAGTTATTGTTCCAACTGTAACAGAAATGTGCAAAAATGATCTGCAATGAAAGAAAAGCATAAAGGGTTGATGAATAAAAGAATCAAAACAAATGATATAGAATTAAATCAAATATCAAACATGTTCTTAAATATAAATAACGGAAATAAAAAGTACCTGAAATGAAACAGGAAGTTGAATAATTGGCTCTTAAAACTACATCCAAAAGCTCCACTTCAAAACAACCTTTCTTCAGGCAAACATGATTTATGTGAAGATACTGTTTTTCCTCAATAAGCTCAGTCCTTTTCTGATTGCAGAGTCATTGATTGCATTGCTGTGAGAAATCTAATAGACTGCTCTGCTTTAAATGCCAATCACTGCCAGGCCGCTACATTGTCATACAGTGGAAGATCTCAGATAGTTCTTTATTAATCAAGTTTGAAAATACAGGAGTCTCATAGAGCTGCAAAAAATGTACTTTTTTCTTGAATTGAGGAGGTAAGTGAGATACTTTGCAAATGGAACAAGACAATTTACATTTAAAAGAGGAATTGTTGTTTGGTTGTAAAAACAATATATACAGTGCGTCCACGCACACACACTCGCATACACACACATGCACGCACCCTCTCACAAATATATATATATATATATATATATATATATATATATATATATATATATATATATGATATATATATATATGACAGCTGAAGTCATATCAGTAACTCATTCAATTGGCTTTTTTTACTAGATTGTT